TAAGACGTATGTAGTTACAGAACTAATAATCATCAAAAGCATCAGTGCAATCCTCCAAGTTGTAAAAGTCTAGCAATGACTTTGACCTTGAAAAAATCTTTTTTGCTAGACCTTTTAGAACTTGGAGGATTGTACTGATGCTTTTGATGATTATTAGTTCTGTAACTACATACGTCTTACAATCGCGAACAATATTTTAATCAACATACAATCTAGCACTGGCCTGCAAATTGCAAAAAAACGTAAGAAAATTTGAATTTCGCGGGCTGATCGGAGCAGTCACTCTAACTAAAAAGTTATGTTACTTTTAACCGAAAAGTTCAGTTATAAATAAATAATAAATAGTTATAAATAATAAAATAGTTTGGTTACAATAATATTATAATGATGTAACTAATAACTGAACTATACCAAACCCATGACCAAGTTTTAACCAAACGGATTTGTACGCGCTAACAATAAAACATGGCTATTTTTACATAACACTTTTGTTTTATAATACACATATTTATTTATTCTAGAACACTTTGGTTCAACGTGAATAATAAATTTGTTAAGAAGTTATCATTTTTGTGGAGCCACTAATAACAGATCTCTAATAACAAAACTGAATTTGTCTAATAAGAACTATAGTTATGTAGTCACTATTTTTATGTAACAGGTTACTCAATTGTTTGTTATTTGTTACTCAAAACTTTTTTCAGTGTAAACGGTCCATCGCCCGCGGTTAACACCTAATTCTAAACGAAGGTTTAACGATTAATTATACCTATTATAACGAACTTTCTTCCGTTATGTCAGGTACTATTACGCAATTACGTCATATCCGGTTTCTCAGTTCACTGGTTCATATGAACGGAAGTGGATCATGTAGGTTGTTATTATTTTCTTATTAATCGTTGTTCTTAAATTGTATTGTATTGTTTGAAGGGGAATTGATATTGTATTGTATTGGTGTAGTCTTTGTTTTTAAGTGTAGACGTGTAGTCTTATGTAAGTTGAAGTTTATATGAGGTCTGGATTTGAAGCGCTTTACAGATTTTTTATAATAAGTAACTGTCTCTACTCTTTCCAAATATGGCGCGGTGGCTGGGCAACTGTTCGATTCCCGCACTGAACAACTCTTTGTGTAATCCATAGATTGTTGTTTCGGGTCTGGGTGTCATGTGAATGTGGACTTGTATGTTTACACCTACGACAGGAGTAAACACTAGTGTGGGACAGTCTTTTTTACAAGTCGTAAGAACCAGCTATGAGATTATAGGCTTGCACAAAAAACTGCGACGATGTCGCATCTCAAAAATGGGCGAGCTCCCTCTACGCATCGCAAGAATTGATTCGGATCGTACATCAAAATCTTATCTTCCCAAAATCTTCTTAGTTTCTTTTTCCTGTATCTTCTAAGCAATAACAAAAGTGCACACTTCTTTTTCCGATCCATGTCACGACCTAGTTTTCAATTTAAAATACGTTTAGTACGGTTGATGATCGTCGAATGTGGTCACCCTGGGGGACGCCTTGTCGCACGAAATCGCATCGCAGCAATTAGTATCGTAATTTTCTGCATTTCGAATTCGCATCGGAGTTTTGGGTACGAGCTCTATAGCAAATACTCTTGATAAGATTAGGTTCGTGGAGGTCATAAGAAATCTCTCACTGGCTATTGATGATGATGACAACTTTTTTTAAGAGGAGAAAATCGTCCAATTTCTTCTCTCGCATTTCAAAAAAAAGACGGTGCCCCACACTATGATTTTCTCCTGTGTCGTGTGTGCGTTTACAAACACACAAGTTCACGTACACATGACACCCAGACCCGGAAAAACAATCTGTGGATAAATCACACAAAGAGTTATTCCGTGCGGGAATCGAACCTGCGACACGTTGCGTGGCAGCCAGTTGCCCAGCCACCGCGACAATCGTGCAGTCATGCATTGGGTGAGGCGAGAGATTGTCATTCTTCAACTGACTAAAAACCTCCCCGTTTCTACTACCGCTTCAAACCGGAGCTCCGGTTAACCGCTAGGTTGTCCGCAGCTCCGGGTAAAGATGACTACTAATGGCTATTGTAATTTTATTGTGAATGTTCTAACATTTTAATTAATAATGGTGTTTGTTTGTTTACAGCAAGTGACACAAGATGGCGCTGCATTCGGTTGGGGATGGCAGCTGTCGCCGCTGGGACAGGCCTCTACCATTGGACATTATTACGTCAAGCTACCACAGGTAATTGTACAATAGTATCAACATTACTCCATAAAGAACTAGGTAAAGGTGCACATAAAATGACCACCACCAGTCTTTCCCTGGATATGTAAAAGCCAACTAAGGTACTTAGGTTTATAAGACCGGACGGCATCTCTGATAAATCTAAATATTTTAAACTGTGGTATCCAAACTAAGAGACTAGGGACCCTCTTATGTAGAGGGGATTCATAGTTCAGAAGGACAATGTCTCGACGTTTTGATGTACCTAATGTGATATGAATACAATCCTCTATTGCTTGTGTGGCTATAATTTTTTTCTCTTAATTTAAATATAATAAGAGTCTATAAATCTAAGGGGATTATGCCGGACTCATCGTGACCATGAGAATATTGGAGTAGCGAGAAATATTAGGACCTGTCCAAACTACATACGAACTCATAGATCTTAACAGCACCGTCACAGTATGGATTGTACAAGATGGACTGAAAATCACCTATTTCCGCAACCATAATGTTCAATTCTTGAATTCATATTTCTTTCAGTCTTTTATATCGGACAGATTCTAGTAACAAGTGTTAGACATCTTCAACAATTCCGCATGCAAATAAAATATAATATTAATTTTCACAATGACATCTTCTGCTTCCAGTCTGAACAGCAAGTGAGGTACGGGCCCAACGGTGGTGGATACCAAACTGCACCCACTGTGAACAACGCTCAGTCCGCTAATGCAGCCGTCAGGCAGCAAGCTGAGGATTTAAGCCAGCAGGTCTGTATTTAATTATCAGAAAAATAGGTTTAGGATTTATTCCTATTACCTGTATTGGACTCGTATCGTATTTGGTGATATACGGGAGCGGGGATCTAAAGGCGTGATATTATATTAGATTATTAGGCGTAGAGTAACTGGGTTCGCGGAGAAACTAATTACAATATTGCAAATTCATCTTCAATTCCATGTATTAAAAAATTACATCATCATCACGATTTATTCCCGAAGGCGGACATTGCGGCACTTAATGCCACTGTAAGTACAATATAACACCCACTTTTCACTTTTTATGATATAAGTCCCATGTGAGCCGTGAACCTATTGCCATATACCGGGCACAATTCTAGACTTTGCGCACTACTGAGAAATATTTAAAAAATCTCAGTAATACTTTGTCCGATTTGAGAATCGAACCCTAGACCCGTTGACCGGCTGTCGCACTTGCCACAACCCAGCCAATGAGGCAGTCAGCAGTCAGGAGAAAAAAAAAAACCTTTTGATTATTTCAATAACGAAACCTTTGTTTTTAAAACCACACAATATTTCTTCTATCTTCGGATGAAAATCATACGGAAGAAGGCTTAAGGTCTTATACCTTACAATGCCTTTGCATTGTAGCTAGATGCAACCTAACGGAACCAGCTTTCAATAGGCTTAGCTAATATTTATTCTGCGCAAAAAAGAAACGAAAGTGCGATATGTAATATACACCCACAACTCTGCAACTTGTTTAGCGCAGTTTTTGCACGTACTTTCGATTTCCTTCAGACTAGACAAACAGTTAAAGTATATCTTTATGATAGATTTATTTCAATTTATGTGTATAAGGCTCTAGACAGACGGACTGAAAAAAGGGAACTATACCTAATATATATTTCCCTAAAATAGGGAAATATATAAATATATTGCAGTAGTAGCACGGAGTCTGGAAATGTGCCCGGTATATGGCAATAGGTTCACGCCCTATTACATGGGACTTATAACATAAACAGTGAAAAGTGGGTGTTACATTGTACAGTGGCATTAAGTGCCGTAATGTGCACCTCTGCCTACCTCTTAGGGGATAAAAGTCGTGATGTTATGTTAAGTAAAATAATAGAAAAGAAAAGAAAAAAAACTTTATTGCACACGCTAAAGACAAGTGACAAATTATAGTGTTGGTTTATAAGTACTGATGAGCCAATGATTACGGCAACATGTTCATATCCCAAGTCTGCGGGTAACCGTAAAACAGCGCCTTGCGCTGGTATTCTACCGGCCTCTTAGTGACTTGCGGACGAACAAGCCACCAATTAGCAATTATATTAATTAATTAAACAAACATTGTAATACATACAACAAAATAAAAGAACAGAAAGAATAATCGGGTAGTTACAGAGTTAGTTACATATTCCCTACCACCACTTATTCAAACACACATTTCGTTACAGGCACAAAATCTCTACCAGCAAATACAGAACATAACCCAGCTACCAGCGCCCCCAGCATCCAACCAGCAACCACTCGACATCTACCTACTCCAGCAGCAGTACAACCCAGTGCTACCCACCCCCAACTACGACCATAACCAACTGCGGTACAACGACCCCCAAAGGGAACACTCGAACCCTCTTACGAAAGAGGACTCCAACGAGTATAATCCCCAAGTCCTACAAGTCTTTAAAAACCACAATTGTTCTAATCCAGATACTTCAGAAGAATTACAAAATGATTTGGAAAAGTCTAAACAACTATTTGAAGAAGTCCCATCGTTTGATATACAAGATATTAATAATTTTGGAGCAACCCATGCTCCTAGTACATTTTACAGAGGTGCTGTCAAGTTCAGGGTTGAAACTCCGCGCGATAATGCTCGCAGTGAAAGATTCTACTACACGACCGCTGAGACCCCTTCTACAGCACCAACTGAAAATGCAACTCAAGTTGGTATTGATAAACTAGTAGCTTCTACCCAAGACCTCATTACTAACGAAGACTTGATTATCATCAATCACGCTGCAGAAAAACATGTAAATGATCAATCTGACGAAATAATCAAACCACGTGCACGATTTTACGTGAGAAATAATGGGAATAGTAATTCTAAACATATTACTATTAAAGCTAAAATTGAGAACATACTTAAAAGCGAAGTTGAACATTTAGAAGATGATCAAAAGAAAGAAAATGTTTTACATTCTAATTCTAACAAGTATGATTTTGCAACTCCTATTATTGTACAAGACAATTCTTATAACAACTTCAAAGACCAGATAGTCGACAATCTCGTGTCTACAATGGTCCCTTACATGGAAGATGGTTACCAAATAGTAGGAGTTAGCGATAGTTCTAGAGAAGCTTACACAGATGACAGCAGAGTTGAAGACGATGCAGTAGCTACCGTTTCTCCAAGGCCAGTAAATCAGAACTATCTCGCACCAATCACTGTAGCTTTAAGATTATTGAACGCTAACGACACAGAATCCCTTAACACTATAGATGATCATGAAGCTTCAGACAGTGAATTAGTATCAGACACAGTACGGACCCCACCGAAAGAAAAGACCATCGTTGAAATCCAAGAATCCATTCCAGTTGAAATAACTCACATAAATGATGTTGAAGTACATGAGTATGTAGATTTTGATGAAGGACGAAGCAATAACAAGGGACCTTTGGATGTAGCGAAGAATTTGTATAACACGTATGTTGATGCTTTGAAATCATCCAAGAAGATACAGGAGCAGATGAATAAGCTGCTTTATAAGTACGGTGCGACAAAAGAGGATAGTCAGGAGAGTAACGATAAAGATGAAGAACAGAAAGAGCCTTTGGAATCAAGTGAAAATATGCAATCTCAAGTTGAATTAAGACCTAATGAAGACAACAGTAACATTCAAAGAAGTGAACAGTACCAATATTATCAGTATGGTAATGATAATGGTAATTCTAAGATAATCCAACCAATTATTATAGAAAAGGAGATACCTATAACCAAATTCGTTGATAGATTCATCGAAAAGAAGGTTCCATATCCACAGCGCGTTGAAATCAAAGTACCAGTGGATAGGCCTGTACCAGTGGAGGTCCCTGTTGAGAAAATTGTTGAAAAACCAGTCGAAGTTACTAAATATGTGGATAAACCATACCCAGTTGAAGTCCCTAGACCTTATCCCGTTGAAGTTAAGGTTCCTTATCCAGTGGAACAAAAGGTGTATGTAGATCGTCCCGTACACATTCCCTACCCAGTGGAAAAGGTGGTTGAGAAGCAAATATTACACCCGGTTCCCATACCCACTCCGGTTGGCATACCCTATGAAATTCAAGTGCCTGTTGAACATAAAATATTATATCCAATTCCATTTGACAGGCCCGTACCAGTCCCGGTAGAAATTGAGAAACCAGTTGAAAGAATAGTTAATAAGGAAGTTCCTGTACCTTACGCGGTTGAAAAACGTGTACCATACCCAGTTCATTACGAAACCAGAGTTCCTGTCCCGTACCCAGTTGAGAAACGAATCCCAGTACCGGTTGAAAAGATTGTTGAAAAACCGGTTACAATTACCAAGTATGTAGACAAGCCGATTCATATTCAAGTGCCTGTACCTCATCCTGTTCCTGTACCAGTTCATGTTCCCCAACCTTACCCGGTCGAAAGAATAGTTGAGAAAAAAGTTCCATACCCGGTTCACGTAGACAGAATAGTAGAAAAGAAAGTCCCAGTCGAAGTTCCCTATCCAGTGGAAAAAGTTGTGGAGAAAATTGTGGAAAAACCGGTTGTGGTAACGAAATATGTTGACAAACCTTACCCAGTCGAGAAAAAGGTGCCGTATCCAGTCGAAAAAATCGTCGAGAAGAAAGTTCCTTACCCGGTCCAAGTCCCATATGAAGTTAAAGTACCATACGCGGTTGAAAAAATCGTTGAAAAACCGGTACATGTACCGATACCTGTATTCCGTTATGGGTATAACAACCAGGGTAGCGAATCAAGGAACAACGCTCAAACGGCTCAATCACAGTACAACACAAACGATAGAAATAAGAAGACTCCAATATTTATTACACAGTTTTACCATCAGCTGTTGAAAGAGAGACAGAGAATTCCCTTACACTCAGTCCAATGGGGCAACCAATACGCGTCTTCATACCAATACATAAACAACACTTCAGGAAACAAATTAGAAGAAAAGAAACCTAATCCAATATCTAGTTACTTATCATATTTAACTAATGGACAAAGTAAATCGAACCAGTACTATGGTCCAGTACCAACAAAAAACCAAGATGATTGGTGGCAGAATAATAAGGATTATGTCGTTGAAGTCAAAATGAGGAGGGCGGATCGGGAACCAAGAGTTAGTAACTTAAGGATCGAATACGGAGGTTTTAGGCCTCCCTTAATACCTAGCACTGAGGTTGATTTAGATGGCATGCCCATTCATAAGGAATCGTAAGCGTGATATAGTTGTAGTATGGAACTGTTATAAAATAAATTGAGGCCCATTTCAAAATTGGAAATCGGAAAATAGGCCTTGGAGAATGTTGTCTGAAGTACTTTTGCCGTGATAGTAAAAAAAATAAGTTGGTTAGCCCGCCATTTTTTTGTTTTGTACTTACTACTTATAGTAATTATAATCTGTGGATTCTGTGGTCTGTGGTATTATGAACTAAAAAATTTGTAGCAAAAATCTAACTACTTTATCATGAAATTGTAATTTATTGCTCTAATAAACAGCCAAGATTGGGTTTTGATTTAATTCCCTAATGAGGATAGTCTGTACGATATAAAACTTGTTTGTTGATTATACGAATTGATTGTTTGCATAATAAAATGCAATTTTTAGCTTTAAGTAATTCTAGACTAGACTTATGAACTTGGAACACCTATATTATGTAAAAATACCTAATTTATTTGTTAGGAATGTTTTAATTCTCAGTATTTTCTTTAGTTATAAACGCGTGTCATAATTTTAGTACTTAACTTTACTTTTATAGGTATTAATTATTTCTATGAAGACAATATACTCAGTAGTTAATAAATTTACCTTATTACTGTTTTTATCTATTTTAAGTTGATTGAAATGCATAATGAGATTATTTATAATGTCCATCTTTCACATTTTAAAAAGTAATTTTTACTTATGTTAACATGATCAAAATGGTACCTTAATCTTTTATTGAAATTATTTATTTTATTTTTAGTAAGTAAGTGAGCTCAATGTAAATATTAGATACGAATAAGAATTGTTGATTATTTGAAAAATTAAATGATAAATGAAATTCACATTTTATTTTTTCTCCATTTATGTACCTAGTTCCCACGTATTTATTGTTAGATTTTAGCAATTTCTACACAAAAATGAAGGTCGAAAATAAACAGATTTTTCAAAATCGTAAATCCACTGTTATGTATAACGTGTATCATTTCAAATAATGTAGTCAATTCGATTTGTACACACGCCTCATCTTTATAAATAGACAGAAGATGGGTGAATCGTTATTGGGAAAATTTTCATAGTATCAATCACAGACATGTATCAATTCATCCCCCTTCTGTTCCTATTCACATCTCAATCCCTATTCACCCCATTTTACCGTATGTAGAATGCAGATATATGAAACGTTAATTTAAAATAACAGGTAAATCAGACTCAGCAGGATCATGTTTTTACCAAAATTTTGGGTTTAAAACAGGCCTAATGGTCGAGCTTAGGTGATGTTATTTTGTAGATCCGTAAATACTACAGCATTTCTATCTAATCACAATCACATTAATATTATAAATATGAAACTTTCTTTGCTTAGATGTTGTCTAACAACCTCGCTGAAACTACTGAACGGATTTTGATGAAATTTAGTATACAGCCTGTATGTCTGTATACCAAATAGGTTGACTTAGTTGATAGGATACTTTATATCCCGATTAAAGGCTCCCATGATAAAACAGGAATATGCGGGTAAACGCTAATAAACACTAAATCTTAAATACTCACTTTCATTACTTAAAATAGAAGTAGTGGTAAAACGTAATGAACACGAATTGTTTTGTATACTAGTCTCACGGGTCTTGTTTTTGAGGGAAGAAAATCATCGAATGACTTCTCTGGCCTCGACTGAGGCGAGAGGAAGTATCAGATATTAATGACTAAAACCCACCCCGTTCCTACTTCTGCTCTTCGAGCCGGAGCGGGCAATCCGTTAGGTCCTCCGCGGCTCCATATCGGCATTAGCCTTACTGGGGCCCCCCATCTGTGGTGGTCTGATGGCGCTTTGATGCGCGCACGGAACACGACGCGCCTTTAACTCGGGGTATCTCACAGGTCTTGGATCACCTATTATAGTATTGTAAAAATGGGGGTTGTAACCGCAACACTTTCGGTTGCGAATGAGAATAGTTCAATAATTAGTTATTATATATATATATTACTATGTTCTTTACTACACATCAGATTTAATATCTTTTACATACATACATAACATCACGCCTTTTGTCCCCAAAGGGATAGGCAGAGGTGCGCATAACGGAACTTAATGCCACTGTTAAATGTAACAACCCACTTTCCACTATTTATGTATGGAGTCCCATGTAATAGAGGGTGAGTCTATTGCCATATACCGGGCACAATTCCGGGCTCCATGCTACAACTGAGTATTTTTAAAACCCCAGTAATACTTTACGCGACCCGGGAATCAAACCCGAGACCTCTTGCCCGGCAGTCGCACTTGCGACCGGCCGACTCGGCCAAAGAGGCAGTCATATCTTTTACGAGGTGTAAAAAATAATAATTAAAATAATTTTCTGTAAATTTTGTTCAAGAGTAAATCTTTAGTCATATGTGATGTACTGATGTAGTTTAGGCCAAATATGTACTATAAGCTTATTTCTTACGCTACATAAATATGAGGAGTATAGGATTAGAAAACAAACAAGCATTTGGAATTAAAAATAAAATTTATTTTTCATTTTGAATACCTCACAAATCCTTCGACACGTCCACCTCGCAGGCAAAATGTACTACACTAAATTATTACAAAACAAAGCTCATATATATATATATAAATATATATAACTACATTTAAAATAGTATTATGTATTTCGGGACAACTGGTCGCATCGTCCTCTAATAAACACTATTGCATTATCTCGTAAAAATAAAAGTATGTATTTCATGATTTCTTACCCCCGATATTAATATACCGAGTTCACATTAACAATTACTTTTAAAAACATTAATTTAAAGTAATCTGCGGTTCGTTTTGTATTTAATTTAATTCTACTGTTCACTATTACAATAAATAAAAGCGTTATATAAAAAATCACTTGATTGCATTTGAAACTTTATCTGTTACATGCCTTTGTGTGTAGGGTCGTGTGATTTGTAATAGACCACCCTAGATAAGGACATAATTTGTATTTGAGCAAAATAAATTTCTACTGTATTTGAAGTAAGTAATTAATTAACAATAATATAGCGAAGTATCATCATGGCGCCAACGTTCAACAATTTGGCTTAGACACGACAGTCGCCGCCGACACGTCAGAATTTGTGATTTCATGTAAAAGTTATAACACTACACTTAATTATATATTAGAAAAGTGAGCCGCGGCCGCCCGGCGCACACAGACAGACATACCTACTTCATATAACAATATCACTAACGTATGCAGTCCACACACCGACAAATGATCAAACGAAAGCTTCACACGATTCGAAAACGAAGGTTTTGTGAATCACAATATAAAGGCTGTTACACACGGAGACAGTGAGACGAGTGAGACGAGCGAGACGAGCGTCCTCAACGATTATTGCTACAACTACAAGTCCGTAATACTCGATCACAATACAACGTACAACGTACACGTCTAACGATTTAAGTGAACTTACTACGCGCTCCCACACTTTGACACTTTCTAATTCAGCCTTATAATTAGAAAGAGAGGCCGCGGCGGCCGCGCCGTCGTGGGGCCGTCGTGCCGTCACCGTGCCGTCACCGCGCCGTCACCGTGCCGTCACCGTGCCGTCACCGTGCCGTCACCGTGCCGTCACCGTGCCGTCACCGTGCCGTCACCGTGCCGTCACCGTGCCGTCACCGCGCCGTCACCGTGCCGTCACCGTGCCGTCACCGTGCCGTCACCGCGCCGTCACCGTGCCGTCACCGTGCCGTCACCGTGCCGTCACCGTGCCGTCACCGTGCCGTCACTGTACCGTCACCGCACCACGGCCGCACGACCCTTACAATGACATATAAACATTTTATCGCTATTCAGAGACAGCCATATTTTGTATTTATATTTTGTTATATTGGAAAATGAAAAAAAAATATAATTAACACTAAGCTAGATTGTATCTGTTGAGCTCAAACTCACTTTGTACATTATTACAACGATTAAAATACATAATGTAATAGTATATAAGCGATAGCACAATAACGCGGCCTGGCCGGGTGTGCCGCGCGCAGTATTAAATAATGTCTTTTAAAAAAACACGATTTCATAAAACAAAGTTCCAAATATAAATTAAATAAAAAGCGCGCAGCACACACGGACAGACGGCCGACTTATCTACAGAAAAAACAATCATGTAATAATAAAATTCATGACACGAGTAAAATTATTTATACAAACATGCGCTAACTGAGAGCAGTGTATACTAAGTATGTAGATCATTCCTCGGCGACGCACTATGCTGACCACTTGGCACATATTGTCCCGCTCCGCGTCACGTCACGTCACGTCACGCCACGCCACGTCACGTCACTGTCATACTCAGACACTTCCGATATAAATCGAATAATAATACAAATTCGAGTCAGGCGGCGCCACGCGCGCTCACAACACGAGCTGTACGACCTCGCTCGGGGGAACTACATTACTTCTATATCTCCGAGAGAACATCTTCTGTTCTGCAATGTCACAAACAACACGCTCGGCCTCCGATGTATACAGTTACGAATGAGGATTCGACGAAGAATAACAATATAAGTAGATGATTGTCAAACGCATCACTCGTAACGTTACGAGGGCGAGCGGGCCAGCTCGTGGCTCGTGCCATAAGCGACGGTGGCGCCAGTTAATTTTTACAAAATTCGAAGGAAAGCGAGTCGATCTAGAAGTCGAAGAGCTCCGGCGGCGGGATGGGGTCCACGGGCAGGCAGTCGCAGCTCAACTCGAAGTTAGGGGGGGAAGGGGGGGAGCGGGCGCGGCCCTGGCGTCGTAGAGTGTGCACGCTGTGCGTGTAGCCCGTGTACCCCCCGTAGGCGGCGCCGGGCGGCCGCAGCAGGCGCGCCGGCTCCTCG